GGGTGTTGTGTTTGGACATTGGGGGACCTGGTGGTAACGTTTGTGACATGTGCTTTAGCATTTGAGAAAAACTGTAACTTGAAAGTTGATATTTGCCATGATGACTTTTATTCTTCAAAACAGCCTGAACTCTTTTAGGCAAGCTTTCTTCTTTAAGTAGTCTTCGTGAATCTTTCTCCCGGCTTCTTGAAGGTCGTTTCAAAAGGCTTTTATTCTGCTCTGTCAAGGTGATCCCACACTGCTCCAATAATTTTGAGGTCCCGGCTTCTACATAACATATTTTCCATTGGGTATTGTATGTTATCTGACTGTACATCCCTATTTCCATCAGTTTCGACAAGATCTTCAACACTACTGAATGAAAGGCAGCTCAAACCATGACAGAGCCATGACAATTCTTAATTTTGGCTTTCAGTTGTTCAGTTTCCTTAAACTTTTTAAGAGCAAACCGCACACCATGCTGTAATATGCCAAGTTTATGTTTAATAGCTTTTTGGACCTTGTTCACCTTGTTAAGGCAAAAATATTATTTTATGTCTGTCAAACTGAGTTATCTTTGGCATTTTTCATGGACTGAACTAAACAAATGGAAACAAATGTGTGTTATGTGTAGACACAACACTGATTCATTCTTTAGGTAGGTAAAAAAAAATGGCTGGCTCCTTGGATGCAAAACATGAAGAAATGAGGGGAACCCTCGAGACGTTTGCACAGTACCGAACTTTTGCAAAGCTTCTTTTCCATTTCTGTTCATGTGGTCAGTAAGGTGGATTATTCTACTTTGTGTTCCTGGTTAGGTCAAAGCACGGTATTAACAGTGGAATTCACAGAAGAGCTGTTGCAGCTGACTGCATTAGATTTTAGCTAATAAAATGAGTACAGTTGTCAGGAATTACATGGAACTAATAAATGTAACTCGAGCCTGAGGAAAGTACAAGTGTCTGCTGTCTGTTCTACAGGCCAAACTGTTGTACGATCCCGTTGACCTTTACAGGTCTAGTAATAACCTGCCCTTCGGCTCACATCAGCTTTCCTTCCTCGAAGCTCATACCACCAGAGAGCTCACATAAACCTTGACCTGAGAGCAGTGGCTAAAGGCAGATATAACCAGCTTCCTTCTCAGGTCTGTAGGGCAGCCAGCCATCTGGAGAGTTTCTTTTTTAGGAGCATCACTGGGTACAGGACATGTCAGATTATCGTTAGGGTAATGAATTCTATTGTAACGTGTTAGCTTGCCTTTGGAAATGAGATAATAAATGTGCTATGTACTGAACTTAGACACATTTAATATGGATCTAAAATGTTTTGTTGGAACAAGGAGAATTTATGTGATGTCAGGCATTTCATTCAGACGCAAAAAAGATGATTAGATTTTAGAAAGATCAAACTTAATTAAACCACCCCTTTAAAGCAAAAACATCAAAAACCCCTTTCAGCAAAAGAGAAGGGAAGGCATGTCTCATACATATGTACACTGTTGTCATGAAAGTGCAAGTGATTTGTTTTTGAGTTCTAATTCCCCAAAGACCGTGTGTCAGAGTGAGTGGGAGAAGCAGAGGGAGGAAGACAAGTGTGACAGTGATGCGAGTAAGCGTGAATTTTGATCAGATGCATTGAGATCGTCTGTGTGTGGGTGGGTGCCCCACGCAAGAGTATAGTTTGTGTATGACAAAACAACAACAACAACTGAAAAAAGAAGACATATGCATCTGTGCATGAACCTTCAGATTTGATTGATTGTGTGCATGTGTTTTTCTGGTGAGGGAATGTGAGTTTGAAAGGCAGTACCTGAGGGCAGCAGGCAGTCCAAAGGTGTCATCTTTTCATCCATGGCTAGGATCCACAGCAGCCTGTCTTCAATCAGTGAACTCACTTGGACTTGAGGAGAACAGGGCATATGTTGCTGCTATTCTTCCTTTTGTCCGTCTGTTTTCTACTTTTATTCTTTGCTTGTAAGCCGACAAAGAAAGAAAGTCATTTAAATGTCTACCTCTGACCGGGCTTGTACTGAACTATTAATTATCCCTAAAACAAGAAAACTGATTAAAAATACAAACATCCACATGGAAGCTATGGCCTGCATTTGTAAAATGGTAAATGGCCTGCATTTGTATAGCGCTTTACTAGTCCCTAAGGACCCCAAAGCACTTCACACTACATTCAGTCATTCACCCATTCACACACACATTCACACACTGGCGATGGCAAGCTACATTGTAGCCACAACTGCCCTGGGGCGCACTGACAGAGGCGAGGCTGCCGGACACTGGCGCGGCTGCCGGACACTGGCGCCACCGGGCCCTCTGACCACCACAAGCTATGCAACTTCAAGGTTTACACGCATGTTTCAAGACACAATACCGACACAACAGGGTTGCAACTAATAACTATTTTTCTTTGCTAATATATCTGTCTTCTTTGACTGATGGGTCATGTGGACTTGGCTGAAAATGTAAAAACCTATTGTCAAAATTGTCAGCAAATTTGCCTCAGTCTTCTTGTTCATGTCAATAATCTTCTGGTTTAACAACAATGACAAAACTGATGTGATGATTTTTTTTAATTTTCTTGCTGATTAAATGAATCAATGAATCAAACACAATACCTGTGAAAAATATAACACCATCTGTATACTAGAGAGGAACTAAAGTTAAAAATGGAGCCCAGGTAGTTAATGATTGACTAATCTATTAACAGAAATCTTAACACCCAACCCTTTTTCTCAAATGTGTGGCTCTTGCATATCTGATGTGACAGCAAACTGAATATCTTTTGGGCAGGTTGGAATGTTTGAAGGTCATAATATATGACAGATTCATTAAAGGAAAATTAAAAGCTGTGACTCTGTAAACTGTACTTTATATGAAAAAAGAAAGCAACAACCCTGTAGATAACCAGGGCATATAAACGACCAAAAAAGGCTAAATACGCCTAAAACCTCACGAACCAGCTGATGACAGCACTAAAACAAATGTATACTTCACCTGGATCTGCTCACCTTCCAGCTTTAGCAACCAAAGCAGAGCAAACTACGAAAGAAAACCAAGTGCAGCAGGGTTTAATGATCATTATAGTACTCTGAACTCAGCTGAACCTTTAACAGCTAGCCCTCGATAACGATCAGACCCTCCCCTCACGCTGGACTCTCAAAGATATAGTGCAGGCAGTTTTTTATTTTCTCTTTCTAAAATGGATTTATTGTTTAATAGTGGGCAGTTTTCCTGTCTTTCTCCCTCATTTCTCTCTCTCTTTAATACTCCATACACACTCTGGACTCAATGAAAGTACATTGCATCGTCTCGTTACCTCTTTAATACTAACCGACAAAGAAAATTAGCTCTTGTCACATATTAACACAGCCCTTCTCTTAAGTGCTCGACCTAAAGATCGTTCATTCATTTCCACAAGCATTTCTCCCACTTCACGTGCAACACGTGACGAAGAGAAGTCCTCCCGTCACAGACACAACAGTCCGACTTCAACAAAAGCGACACATAAACACTCTGACTTCACACTGTGAAGCTATCAGTGCTTTACTTTAAAAGAAATCCTTTATACACTCACAGACTTAAGCCGCTTCCGCCATTGATGGAGTAAACAGTCAACGAGAGGGAAGGATGCGTGCAGAGAGGGGAATGAACAGCGGCTCGTGATTGTTATGGTGACCCCTAGAGGCCAAGCGTGGAAATGGCGCTTCTTTGTGCTCTCAAATGGGAATTCTCCAAGGTAGTCCCAGGGTTTCTTAAGGAAACCTGAACAATTATAAATAATTTAACCTGACAGTTTGATTTATTTCTTTTTTCATTTTTTTTTACTATATAAGAGGAAATAACTGCTGTTCTCTCTCCTTTAAGTTTACCTGCACTATCCATGCTATAAGGACAGCGAAAAGATGTCAAATTTAATAACTACGCAACAGAACAGCTGTGTTTTTCATTAAAGATGGCAAAACAAATCACATTCAAAAGCTTGCTATGCTGTCATATTGTGTTTACATGTGGCGTTATATGTAAAATTTAAAAATGTTAAAATGTCGGGGACCCCTGAAGCAAATCTGCACTATTGTCAACGACCCGTGCTTTGGTTTAATGAAGCATTACTAGTCTGACATTTACATGCTTCATTGATTTAGCAGGTGCAGTCCTGCTTTAAGAAAGTACAGCATTTTGGTGGATTAACCCGTATCCCAGTGTCTTTATCATGCTGCCATTCAAAGGTAGACATGAATGATTTTGAAAATTTGAAACATCTACATCAGTTCTCATGTCTTTATGAGATATATAGCAAGATATGATGAAACATTTCTGTTTTTTCAGTTGTTTTTCTGGCTGTTAAGGTTTCTTAGACATGTAGATTTATTGGTTTAGTGGTTAAGTAGGTCAGGGTAATTGAAATGATGCTTCAACATTAATTTATAGCAACCAGTTACACCCACACCCTATCACTTAGCTTTCCCTCTGCTGTTCTCGTAGACAGGGGCACCAAATCTCACACTTGCTATACAAAAAGAAAAATGCACAAGCAAAACACAGAAAGGTAAACACACAAAACAAGCACACATACACACACGAATGCGAGCAATAGACTGATGGTGTATGCCTCAGATATCTCCAGACAGCAGTAGAAGCACTGTAAAGTGAGCAACCAAATCTTTCTCAAGGTGAAGCCACTCCAGAGGCTCGTTAAAACAAACGTTGTCTCATCAATCAGCAGTTGTTCTGTCTCCCTGACACACCGCACATGCAATGTACACACTCGCAGTTTTGCACAAACATGTATGTGTAAGTCACACGCACGTGCACACATGTGCTACGGGAAGTCATTCATTCTGTGGGCATGCATTATAAATGCATCTATGAATAAATTCCTGGCTCAGTGCATTCTTCATTGGAAAGGATTTCTTTTACAAGCCTACACCCACTGAATGTTTGATCAGATTTCTCTTTCACAGTGCATCCATCCAACCAATCCGCCTCGTTCTTGGACATCAGTCTTTCCAATATTTACTACTATTTCCCTTCCTTCCTCGTTTAGCATTTTTTTTTCCTGTTTAAACTTTTTTTTTACCCTACACTTCCCCCTCTGAAACACTTTTACTGCTTAGAATTCCCTGATATTTTTTTAAGCTTGACTATTTGTAGGTAGTAACAAAAAGTGGGTCAGTGGTGAACTAGATAAAGATGACAATGGAGCCACTTTCTCATGAGCAGTTGAGGTGCGCGGCTATAATGAAACAGGTGATTGATGGACGCTGAATATTTAACAGCTGACGCTACACTGACAACTTTTCTGTCAGTCATTAGAAACTCAGCATGTCACCAACCCGGCACTCTTAGCTCAGGTTGTAAAGAAGGCAGGGATTGCATTCTTTAAAGTTTATTTCAGAGTTGACTGCCAATCTCAGGATTTCCACTGATGGCAAATAAATCAGTTTTTTTCTGGATTTGGAAGAAACGTTTAATGCAATGGCCTCCTTTGTATTGTACATATATATTGAGAAGCTCCACCTGCATTGTAAGAAAATTCATGAAACATTTTTAAATGAGCAAACACTCCAGTCAGTGACTACAGTTTAAAACGACATATTTAAACAGCACAAAGAAAATTAGCTCCATCTATAATTTATACAACAGAAATATGAACAGATCTATTCTTCTGAGTACCCTCATTATTTTATCTCTTGGTTTCCTTGTACGTCTTGTTTCATATACAATATTTAATACGATTTTTAATCTAGACTTCGACCAGTCCATTCTGTAACCCTCAATTTCTTCTTTTTGAAGCATTCCTTGGTAAATGTGCCAGCGCTTGTAGGATCATTATTCTGCTGAAAAGGTCTCCTTCCAGCTCAGCATCAGCTCTTGGACAGATGGCCTCACATTATCTTCAGACACTTTTTGATACAATGAAAAATTCCTTATTGAGCCAATAACAGCAAGCTGCCCAGTCCCCGAGGCAGTAATGCAACCCTGAAACATAAAATTTCCACCACCATGCTTAACAGTTGGTGTAAGCTATATTTGGCTTGCAACACACTTTTCTGTTGTTAGTGTGGCTAAACACACTGTTTAGAGCACATTATTCCAAAGACCCTGCTTTTGTTCATTAGCAAGCTAACTGCATTGGGCGATCGTGGCTCAAGAGTTGGGAGTTCCCCTTGTAATCGGAAGGTTGCCGGTTCAAGCCCCGACTTGGACAGTCTCGGCCGCTGTGTCCTTGGGCAAGACACTTCACCTGTTGCCTACTGGTGGTGGTCAGAGGGCCCGGTGGTGCCAGTGTCTGGCAGCCTCGCCTCTGTCAGTGCACCCCAGGGTGGCTGTGGCTACAATGTAGCTTGCCATCACCAGTGTGTGAATGGGTGAATGACTGGATGTGTAAAGCGCTTTGGGGTCCTTAGGGACTAGTAAGGCGCTATACAAATACAGGCCATTTACCATGTAGTTTAATGGCTACAGCTGCACAACTGACCTAAAGATCCTGTAATGAAAATTTGGGTTTCTTGGAGAATTATGTTGCGTCTGACAGGAAGCTCTTTGAGTTAATTTGCTGGGACAGCCATTCTTTGGCAAATTGGCATTTGCTTAAAATTGAGAGCTCTTGTAGATCTTTTTTTTTTTTTTATTGTAGAAAAATATCTTTTGAAATCTCTTACTTGTCCCAGAGGGTTATTTAGCTCTTGGCATGATGGCAACCAATTTTCAATACTTAAGAGAATGACTTGAGTAAGACAGATTTCACATGCAGCTCCCGACCGATGTCCCTGCTATTCTGAGATTTTACACATCAAAACATCACTCAAAAATAATAATAACCCAGTCCTTCACAGATCTTGAAGTTAGGTTAATACAATCGCAGATTAACTATATTGCTTGTTTGAATGTGTTTAGGAGGAAAGACAGATCGTAGAGAAGCGATTGTTACTCTCCATCAGTCTGGGGAGTGTTATAAGACCATGTCCACACATTTGAAGTTCATCATTCTATAGTAGGAAAGTTTATTCGCAAATGGAAAACATTCAAGACAGTTGCTAATCTTCTCAGGAGTGGATGCCCCAGCACATTCACACCAAAGTCAGACTTTTCTCTGAGCAATGCTCAGAGAATTAGTAAAAAAACCCAAGAGCTACATTTCACTCTCTAAAGGCCTCAGTTAGCGTGTTAAATGTTAAAGTTCATGACAGTAAAATTAGGAAAAGACTGAACAAGTATGGTGTTTTTGGGACTGTTGCCAAGAAGCCTCTTCGCTCTAAAGGAAGATGGCAAATTTGCATCCGAACAAACCACAAGACTTGTGGAGCAATGTCTTTTGGACAAATGAGACCATATAGTGGAGATGTTTGGATGTAATGCACAGTCCCACACTTAGAGACCAAAAACTTCATATCAGCATAAACACCATGTGCCAAGTGTCAAGCAGGCTGGTGGAGGGCTGATTATCTGAACATGTTTTGGACCTTTATAGTGATTGAGTCAACAATGAACTCCTCTGAGTATCATTATTATCAAATGTGAGGACATCTTATTTATTTACTTAAATTACATGAATGATTTCTGAATGAATTTAGCAAAATGTTACACCATTTCTGGGGAGGGGTAGGAAACAGGAGAAGGATGCAGATTAAGTAATCTGTAGTTTTCTATATGTTGACATGTGACATCACAGAGTCCTTTAGCTGTAGATGAAGATATAACTGATTCATTTACAGCATGAAGCTCACAGCTGGCACATCATGTAACCTCAGAAAAAAAACACCTTTTCTAAGAATCCCTGTGATTTTCTTTCTGCTACTTTGCAAGGCAGGCAAATATCAAAATCTTGTGTCACATGCATTTTAATCATCACGTTTCTTTTTACAAGATATTGGTTTTCTTCCAACTATCCGGCAAAGAGCGCTGTTGACAGTTTCTCACCTGCAAAACCGAGCGAGGCAACGTTTGGTTGTAAAACGCCCGTGATGGCTGCCGAAGCAGAAACGAGCATGCTCTGTCATTCTTTTCTCAAATTATTACCTGCTTTCAGATATTATGGTGAGGAACTGCTGTGGACTTTCTGATTTCATTTTCTCCTCGAGGTCACATCATGCTGAAGAGACTGTGTTTGTCTTTAGTTCAATTTAATATCTCTTATCAGTGGATACATGGGTCATAATAATACCCCTTTGCCCCTCGGCAGAAAACACCTGTTATTCTAGCAGATAATGAAACTGAAAAGGAGAGACATTAACTGACATGCAAATCCAGACTCTCTCCCCCTCGCAGGCACTCTCTCTTCCTTTAATATTCCCTATCATTACCTTTACTTCTTTCTGTCATTTTTCTTTCACTTGTTCTTTTTTCTTCAGTAATATGCTTTCTCTTTGTCTCTCTTTTATTCCTTTTTATCTGTCTTAACCTCATATCCCAGCTGCCTTTTTCCTTTGCCGGCTCTCTTTTGTCTCTTCCTTTGCTTTCAGCTTTACTTCCCTTCATTGTGCCTATCTGCTCCTTTTCTGTCTTGCTGTGGGGTTTTGTACTCGTGCGACATTTTACTTCACCTATAATGATTTCTTTTTTATGGCAGATAACAACTCAAACAAGAAAGTTCGGGTTACTCAAGGGATATTACAGCTTTGCTCAGTTTGGGGTCAACTC